GTTTTTACCTTTTTGGTTTGAAGTGGCTGTGGGGCTTACAAATGGAGATGCCCAGTAGGCAGATGGAAACCCTAGAGGGAAGATCTGGGCTGGAGATCCCAGTGTGATCTTCTCTGTGCCTCTTTCTCCTTGCCTGTATGCAAATGGAGGTATCAGGACCTACCTCACTGGTTTGATTAGGCTATTAAATGGAGGTCATTCAGCAAATAATTACTGAGCTCTTGGTGTATATCAAGCATTTTCCTATAATAGATACTGAGAAGATAGCAGTGAATAAAACACACAAAAAATAATTCCTGTTCTCAAGGAACTTACATTATAGCACGAGAATACAGTTAATAAAATGATTAAGTAAATTGTGTTGCATATTAAAAGGTGATAAATAGTATGAAGAAAAATAAAGCAGAGAAGTGGGGACAGGGAGTGGTAGGAGGGTTGCAGTTTTAAACAGGGTGGTTAGAGAAGGCTTTGCTGAGATGACATTTGAACAAAGACCCAAAGATAGTGAGAGTGAGTTGAGTAAGTCATGGTCTACCCAGGGGAAAAGTATCCAGATAGAGGGAAAAGCAAGTGCAACAAAGGCCTTGAGGTGGGAGCGTGTTTGATGTATATGAGGAAGAGTAAGGAGGCCAGCATGGCTAGAGCAGAGTAACAGAGACAAAGTCAAAGAGGTCAAAGGGGAATGCAGTGCACATAGTGGGCCAATATGTCATTGTAAAGGCTTTGGCTTGGGGCCAGGCGGTGACTCACTCCTATAATCCTAGCACTTTGGGAGGCTGAGGTGAGCAGATCTCTTGAACCCAGGAGTTTGAGACCAGCCTGGGCAACATAGTGAATACCTATCTCCACGAAAAATAGAAAAATTAGCCAGGTGTGATGGTGCACACCTGTAATCCCAGCTATTTGGGAGGCTGAGATGGGAGGATCACTTAAACCTGGGAGGTTGAGGCTTCAGTGAACCATCATGGTGCCACTGCAAGACCCTGTCTCAAAAAAGAAAAAAAGAAAAAAAGACTTTGGCTTTTACTCTGAGGGAAATGGGAGGGTTTTGAAGGTTTTGAGTGGAGGAGTGATATGATCTGCAGTGTTTGGAAGACTCATTTGGTGCTGTAGGAGTCAAGGAGTCAGCTAGGCACAGGGAGTGTTGTGAGTAGGCTGTTCAGCAGGCAGAGCAGGGGAGCAGCAGTCAAAGGTGCAAGCAGGGAGACCAGTTATTAGCCAGGGAAAAATTAATGTATGTAAAGTGCTTGCTCAGAGCTTTGCATTTAATATATGTTCAATAAGTGGTATCAACTATGTGAATACCTATCAAATTCTACCATTAACCAAATCAAGACTTGCTTTCTCAGGAAATTAAATGAATTATCTTTGCCACTTATTTGACATTTATTTAACATATTTTGAATTAATTTACTTCTGTATATTTATTTAAATATCCACATATTTCTGACTTTTCTCTCCATATATGTGTGTGTGTGTCTATGTATACACATATAATTATTATTTTCTTTCTTTCTTTCTTTTGAGACAGGGTCTCATTTTGTCACCCAGGCTGGAGTGCAGTGGGGTGAGCATGGCTCACTGTAGCCTTGACCCCCAGGCTCAAGCAATCCTCCTGCTTTAGCCCTTTAAGTAGCTGAGACAACAGGTGTGTGCCACCATGGTGGCTAATTTTTTGTTGTGTTTTGCATACAAAAATTTACCGCTACGGTTTTTTTTTCCTTTATTTTTGAGACTAAGTCTCAGTCTGTCATCCAGGCTGGAGTGCAGTGGTGCGATCTCGACTCACTGCAACCTCTACCTCCCAGATTCAAGTGATGCTTGTGCCTTGGCCTCCTGAGTAGCTGGGATTATAAGCACACAGTACCACACCCAGCAAATTTTTTAATTTTCAGTAGAGATGGGGTTTCACCATGTTGCCCAGGCTGGTCTTGAACTCCTGGCCTCAAGCAATCCACCTGCCTTGGCCTCCCAAAGTGTTGGAATTACAGACGTGAGCCACCACACCTAGCCCATCACTACAGTGTTTTCACCATTCAAGTTTATGATCTTGGTCTTTCCTTTGTGCCTTTGTATAGGGCCAAAAGAGAGACATTGGGTACTTTGACAACCTTAAAGCAGACTCCAGGAATATCACCTTTTTTTTTTTTTTTTTCTGAGATGGAGTCTCGCTCTCATTGCCCAGGCTGAAGTGTAGTGGCATGATCTCGGCTCAACGCAACCTCTGCCTCCCAGGTTCAAGCGATTCTCCTGCCTCAGCCTCCTGAGTAGCTGGGATTACAGGCGCCTGCCACCATGCCTAGCTAATTTTGAAAAATTTTTAGTAGAGCTGGGGTTTCACTATGTTGGCCAGGCTGGTCTCGAACTCCTGACCTCATGATCCACCCGCCTTGGCCTCCCAAAGTGCTGGGATTACAAGCGTGAGCCACTGTGCCCAGCCCAGCATGACCTTTTTAAGCAAATCCAGCAACAAGAACTTTACTGTTTTTCTCAATAAAGTTCAAGCAACCACCATTGGGTACAAAGGCTGTGATTTTCTTGCTATTCTTGATCAGCTGGATGCTGGCACACTTCCTGATGGCAGAATTTGGCTGTTTGGCTTCAACCCCTACTTTTTCCAGCACAATTCCTTTTGCATGAGAAGCACCTCTCATGCAACCCTCAAAAGAGCTGGCCTTCAGGGCTGCGCCCAAATGGGCTTTCTTGTACTGTTTATCATGCCGCTTCTGGTCTCGTCAGTGACTATGGGGCTTCCTAGCAGCATGAAGTCCATGATACTTGCCCATCCTGTTGTCACCACAGGCCTGAGTGAAAGAGCTAATTTAAAAAAAAAAAGAAAGAGCTACTTTTTGTAGACACGGGGTTTCACCAGGTTGCCCAGGCTGGTCTCAAACTCATGGGCTCAAGTGATCTATGCACCTTAGCCTCTCAGAATGTCTCCATTTATACGTTAAATACTATGTCTTAAACATTTTTAATCTCCTTAGGTATCAGGCAATAGCAAGATGACCAGATAAATAATAACCAGATAAGATAACCAGATAAGTAACAGCTGTGCCACAATGACAATAAAAATGCCACCATCAGCTAACATTTCCTAAGCACTTACTGGGTGTGAGAGGCAGTATAGGGAGATAGATAAGAGCATGAGTTCTGGAATCAGACTGTGCTAAAATATAGGTACAACTCCCTCTTGGGCAAGTTATTTAACTGACCTGTGCTGCAGCTTTTTCATCTGTAAAGTGGGAGTGATCATAGTATATACTCATTAGGGAGGTGAGGATTAAATTAGATAATATGTATATTCTTTTTAAAAAAATTTATTTTTATTTTTTTTTAGAGGAAGGTCTCACTCTGTTGCCCAGGTTGGAGTGCAGTGGCACAATCATAGCTTACTGTGACCTCAAATTCCTGGGCTCAAATGAACTTCTTGAATAGCTTGGACTACAGGTATTCGCCACCATGCCTAGTTAATTTTTTAAATTTTGTAGAGTTGGGGGTCTTGCTATGTTGCCCAGGCTAGTATGGAGCTTCTGGTCTTAAGTCATCCTCCCATCTCAGCCCCCGAGTGGCTGAGATTACAGGTACGCGCCATGGTGCTTGGCTATAGAAGCTTCAATTTTCTTTCTTTTTTCTTTTTTATTTTTTTTTGAGATAGAGTCTTACTCTGTTGCCCAGGCTGCAGTGCAGTGGAGTGATCTCGGCTCACTGCAACCTCCGCATCCCAGGTTCAAGCTATTTTCCTGCCTTGGCCTCCCGAGTAGCTGAGATTACAGGCGCCCACCACTACGTCCGGCTAATTTTTGTATTTTTAGTAGAGACAGGGTTTCACCATGTTGGCCAGGCTGGTCTCAAACTCCTGACCTTGTGATTCGCCTGCCTCAGCCTCCCAAAGTGCTGGGATTACAGGCGTGAGTCACCGCCCAGCTGAAGCTTCAGTTTTCAAGATAATATGTGTGTGCTTAGTCTAGTTACTTCCACACAATAATAATAGCTAACATTTTTTGAGCTCCTATAATATGCTAAGCACTTCACATGTATTGTCACACATCAGTCCCACAATTGTCCTATAAGGTAGGTATTATCATTCCCTTTTCATAGATGAGGAAACTGAGATCGAGAAGTTAAACCAAATATCGAATTTGTGTACTAACATTAGGCTTTACTAAGTGTCTTTGAGTTGGAATGAAAAGTAGAATTTTGTGCATCCTTTATTCTACATCTGACAGAGAGATAGGAGAGTATAAAGAGACTACCTATTGAGGGGCAGAAGAAGATTTTTACATTGTTGGTGGTATTCTATACTCTTAAGTCTCTCTAGGTGGAGACTGGAATGCTTTGAAGGAGTATGAGTTGAAAAAGACTGATAATAGCAACATTTGTTTAATTTCTATAAGACAATGATAAAAATAGATTGAAGTGATTTACTTTCAGCACTACTTGCTGGAATAAATAACACAGTTGGTGTGTGTTATTTATTTAAAGGATGAGAATTAAAGGTTTAAAGGATGAGAATGTTTCCTCATCCTTTAGTCTCAAGTCTAATTTTGGCTCTGCTCTAGTCCAAAGGCCACTTTCAGAGGTCTGAATTTGCTGTACCTCATCTCAAGAGCCCCTGGTAGTTTCAGCATGAACAAGAGCATCTTATATTCCAAACTAGATTTCTAAGCCCACCCAAAATTATTCCTGGAAAAGTCTTGTTCTGCTGGGATTCTTTGGCCTGAGATAGAGGAGGCTAAAATTTCTTGGTTGTCTTAGGTCCTCAGTGGGGCCCTGAGGTGGTTTGAGGTCAGCCTTGCAGTTTTAGAACTGGGCAGGATTGTGGAGATGAGGGAATAAGGTCTCACGTTGTAGCACAAGGGCATTTACCCAGATACCTTCTTCTCCTTAGTTTTGGACCAGACCCTGTGGAGTTGGATGTTAGTGAGAGGTGACTGCCATGTTAATATCTTCATAGTGCTTCTGAGAAGGCTGTTTTTGCTCCTTTCCTTCTCACTTACCTTACTATTTCTAGTATAGACTTTTTGGGTAGGGCTGAAGTCTCTAGAAGCTTTGATAGGATTTCAAACAATAGGATTCCTGGGTTGCCAGCTAAATCTAAACAGGTCTCCTTTTCTGGAACTATGGAGGGAAAACAAAAGATAGATTTTTAAATACCTTCTGAAATTAGAAATCAACCACGTCTTTACTGATTATTTATAATAATAATATCAAGTCAGGAACTAGAGGTACAGTAAAACATTAAAAGTCTGTTCTATTTGGTAGAAAGGCCATTTTGGTTACTGAGCAGACAGAATAAAATGGAATGTTAAAAAATACTTTTAGTTCAATAACGTCTAAGCAAATGTAGTAATATTTTTAACACAAACATGAATTTTGTGTTAATGATTATTTCCTGGTTCTAGGCAAACTCCCATTACTATAGTACTACTTGTAAGAAATAACTTCTCTTTATCCTAAGAACAGTTCATAGCTTATGAATGAATATATTTTCAAAACTGTATACAGTATTTGGAATTTGGAATGTTTATCCTAGAAAACGTGAATAATGATTAGCTTTTCCAAGGCAGCCTGGAACAAACCATGAGAGGATTAATGACAATATTTCAACTACACCTACACATCATTTATAACTTTGGGGGAGAAATAACAGAAAAATTATTTTCTATTAGTTAGTGGAAGCATGTGACACCTTAACTAATGCTTTCTAACCTACAGCAGACTCTCCAGCCCTAGCACTGAGGGTAGAGGCTTCATCAGTGTGAGGAAGCTATTTTTTCAAGAACAGTAAATTATCGACACTCTAGATTTACATGAGAGAGTGCATTTTTCTTTTTATGAAAAAAAATTTTTTTTAAAAATAAAAGCAATACTACTCAAAGTAGTGCATACACTTGGTAAATAATTCAGACATTATAGGCCAGGCGCAGTGACTCACGCCTGTAATCCCAGCACTTTGGGAGGCCGAGGTAGGTGGATCACGAGGTCAGGAGATCGAGACCATCCTGGCTAATGCTGTGAAACCCCATCTCTACTAAAAATACAAAAAATTAGCCGAGTGTGGTGGCGGGCGCCTGTAGTGCCAGCTACTGGGAGGCTGAGGCAGGAGAATGGCATGAACCCGGGAGGCAGAGCTTGCAGTGCACCGAGATCGCACCACTGCACTCCAGCCTGGACGACGGAGCAAGACTCCGTCTCAAAAAAAAAAAAAAAAAAAAAAAGAATTCAGACATTATAGAAGGCAGCCAAATTTTTCTATACCAGTCACTCACTCAGTGTTCTCACTGGAGACCAAAGGGCAGTGCCTCCTGCAGGAGGCATTTGGACAGTGCAAGTGCCTGCCTGATGTAGTTAACACTGTACCAATTTGTTTAGCAAATACTGTTCTGGAGAAGCAGTTCAAAAGTAACTCACATCCCAGACTACACCTTCCTGACCTGTCTCCCAACTGGAAGCCTGTGAATGACGTTTACTGTGCAGTGAGTTGTAGCTGCCCAACTGCCTTCTGTTCATAACGTCTCTACTCACCCACTGCCTTGAGGAAGAGATTCTTATCTGTTAGCACCTTGATAAAGTCTGAGAAGTTCACCTTCCCATCTCCTGCAACAAAAATCTGAGACTCAGGACAATGATAAGATGTATTTTAATTATCAGAGTATATATTAAATGTAAAAATTAAAACACTCGGATGATTTAATATTAAAAAAAGAGCATTTGAATTGAGCAAAAAAAGAGCATTGGAAATATGCTCAGGTGAGCCCTGGTCTTCTTGAAGTGGTCTTAGCACCATTACATAAGTCCTCCACAGCCCATAGAAGCAACAGTGGTTGTAAACATCCAGTCAGGAGCACCCAGCCATTGCAGTCTGTCTGCCTGCTCTTTTCTCAGAGCCTGGCCATGTTTGCAAGGAATCTGCCCTGTCTTCCCATGCTATAAACGCCCCTATTATTCCTATTTTAACATCCCCAAGCTGTATTCCATTTCCTCTAAAATTGAAGAATGATGAGTATTATTAGAGGGGTATGTGTGTGTTTCCATGAAATAATAGAAAAATTTGACACGGTTAGTAGAAGCAAGTGACACCTTAAGTGACATTGAATGACAGGTGGAACTGATGTTGATTGAATGGGGCACTGACAGTTGGGTGGAGAGAGGTGAGAGGAGATAATATGCTGAATATATTTTTCACACAGCATATCAGTTTGGGCTACTAATAATTTGGTCAGTATATTCACTAAAAACATTACCTGTATGCTTTAAAAATACCAACAAAAGTGCTATGGCATTTAAAATTCAATGTAGGTAGGACTTGATGGAAAAAGAAAGATTTGTTCTATTTTGATTCAAATAGAAACAAAAGGCTTAAATTCTCTTGGTAATAAGTCATTATTAACATTGTTACTGCTTTTGTATCTGTTATTTCAGGGCACCCTCCATGTACAGCTTCCATGTACATCAGGACAGGTAACCTGAATTTGATATTGAAATCAGACAATCACTCTTGGCTTCTACACAGCGTTTTTCAAATAGTCCATTTTCTAGGATTAATTTGATTTCACAACTTGTACACATACCTCACTGATCTCCTTAAAGGGACATACACCATACGCACACAGACACACACACACATATGTGTGTGTCTCTTTAAGGATACATATGTGTGTGTATACATAGATATATGGATATATACATATATGCATATTTGTATATAGTATTCAAATATATAGTCTACAAACATATACAAATATGCAAATATACAAATATATATATATATGGGGCAAGTAAATAAGGTTTCTCATGTTTATACAGTCATTAAAAGAAAACTATATATTCGCCAGGCACGGTGGCTCAAGCCTGTAATCCCAGCACTTTGGGAGGCCGAGACGGGTGGATCACGAGGTCAGGAGGTTGAGACCATCCTGGCTAACCCGGTGAAACCCCGTCTCTACTAAAAAATACAAAAAAAAAAAAAAAAAAAAAAAAAAGCCGGGCGAGATGGCGCGCGCCTGTAGTCCCAGCTACTCGGGAGGCTGAGGCAGGAGAATGGCGTGAACCTGGGAGGCGGAGCTTGCAGTGAGCTGAGATCCGGCCACTGCACTCCCGCCTGGGAGACAGCGAGACTCCGTCTCAAAAAAAAAAAAAAAAAAAAAAGAAAACTATATATTCACAAAAATCTTTTATGGGAAAAGCAATGAGAAGCCAAATGACTCACGATCAATATCAGCACATTTCAATTCATTATAGACATCATGCTTGGTTAGATTCATTCCCAGCTTAGCTACAGTGCACATCAGTCCATGGAAATCAATACAGCCAGTTTTGTCCTTGTTGAAGAAGTTGTAGGCATCTTGGAAAGCTGGGGAAATAGGATTAAGTTATTCAGGACAGTTATTCAAGAAGAAGTATATACACTAATAGGACTAGGACAGACAATACAGTTGACTGGAGTTCATGTTCTAAAAAAGGGATTGTGAAAAAAATGAGTGCTTAATAGACATTTCTTATACAGTATCCTTCCATGGAACTTGAACTGGAATGAACTAACTGTTGCAAAACCAAGTGTTGGTAAGTAAGATGGCCTTCCAAAGATATCCACACTGTAATCCCTTAACCTGTGAATATGCTATCTTACATGGCAAAAGGGTCTTTGTACATATAATTAAGATAGATTCTTCTGGGCTTGATCTAATTACATAATCCCTTATATAGCTAGAAGCCAGAGAGATGTGGCAGAAATCAGAGAGATTTAGAGCATGAGAAAGACCTCACCCACCATTGCTGGTTTATCAGCCAGGAACTTCTCTGCCTGCTAAAGAGGCTGAGAAGCTCCTGGCTGATAAACAGCAGCGAAACTGGAATGTCAGCCCTACAAGAGAAAAGAACAGAATTCTGCCAAAAATCTGAATGAGACTGGAAGCAGATTCTCCTCCAGAGCCCCTAAATAAGAGGCCAGGCTGGCCAACACCTTAATTTCAATCCTATAAGACACAGAGAAAAGAAACCAGCTGTGCCCACCTGCACTTCTGACTTATAGAACTGTGAGATAATAAATTTGTGTTGTTTTAAGCTGTTATGTGTGTGGCAATTTGTTACAGTAGCAATAGAAAACTAATTTGTCAAATCGAACCCAAATTATATATATGTGTATGTGTTTTATATGGATCCAAAGTTTTTCAAAGAAATAGTCAAGGCACTAACTGGGGCCAAAATTAGATAAGTATTTTCTGAAATTAGTGAATGAGGAAATAAACTGGAAACAAAATATATTCCAAATGACACCAGAATAAAACTTACTTCATATCATGTTCAAGTCTCAGCATCTCTATGTATAAGAATGATTAATCTCCTACAGAGATAATGATACCTGCTCTGTAAGTGTGTAATGTAAAAAGGTAATATCTTTCTCCTTGATAAAAGGTAGGCTTCTCTAGGGCTGGAACCAAACTATCTCTGACTTGTTTCTGTTTTTCCCATTATCTCTTGCCTGTTAGTAGGCAGTCAACAAATATTGATTGCATGCTTTCCATGGACCAGGCATTGCTCCAAGTGCTTAGGATATATTAGCGCACTAAATAGACAAAGATCTGTGCCTTCATATAAATGTAATAAATAGGTAAATTAGATGCCATTTTAGAAGGTGATACATACCATGGAAAAAAGAAAAAGTAATTCTGGGTGGATGATTAGAAAGAAGAAGAGAAATGGAATTCCTACACACTCCCACCTTTGTGTCTGTTTCCTGATTAGCACCTGTACCTGCATGACCTTCCTTTCTCTCTGTGCTGCAAATAAACTGTATGCTCTTGTCCAGAGCCAATCCCTCCCTTGTGGATTGGAACTCATCCCCTCTCTCATATTCAAAGAATTTACCTAAGAAAGGGTCCCCCCTTAGGTAAGGGAAATATCATTTTTTCATTTTCTATTATATCAATCCTATTGTTGTATAAACTTTTGCTATTTCTCCCTTAAAAAGTACATTGTGACCCCATTTCCCTCTCCAGCTATTGCTACCTCTGCCATTTGTCTCTTCTTCCTATTAAAAATTTAGTCATTTATGGCTGGGAGCGGTGGCTCCTGCCTGTAATCCCAGCACTTTGGGAGGCCAAGGCGGGCGGATCACGCGGTCAGGAGATCAAGACCATCCTGGCTAACACGGTGAAACCCCGTCTCTACTAAAAATACAAAAAAATTAGCCGGGCGTGGTGGCGGGCGCCTGTAGTCCCAGCTACTCGGGAGGCTGAGGCAGGAGAATGGTGTGAACCGGGAGGTAGAGCTTGTAGTGAGCCAAGATTAGTCATTTATTTCTATGAGTGTGGATTCATGGATGTTTATTTTATACTTTGGGTTATAATCAATTCTGTATTATTAATTTTTATGCCTCAAATAGAAGAAGTTGTTGGAAGACAGAGTATATGGATACAGATGCTGGTAAGGAGGTAGACATGGAAGTGAGAGTCTATGGACATTCTACTCTGATTACTTCAGTTTTCTTCAGGAAAGTAAGGAGACCTATTGACAGTGAGGATGGGAGATGCTAGGGATCTCGAAGTATTCAATAAATATTTGTAGAATGAACAAATTAACCTCTCATAGGAAAGTTGTGAGGATTAAGCACTGTAAGGAACACATTTTCTAGTTTCCATATTTGATATTTTGTTATCTGCGGCCTTGCTGGCCCTGGAGGGACTGCCCCTCTCAGGGCTGGTCAAAGTCGATTGATTCTTTGATTCATTTCTGTCTCCTGGGTCAATTTCTAAATTGGTTCTAAATTTAGTGGAATAAAGCATCAGCCTCTCCAGAAACCAGACGCAACCCAAACATAGCCACACTTGACTTCTTTGAATTTTTCTAGTGCATCATGTTTTCCCTTTTCTCTGGCCTTTGTAGATTCTGTTCTTTTTAGATTTCTGTTCCTAGAACACTCCTCTCAGCACTATTTGCCTGATTTACTCCTAGTCGCCATTCAGCCTTCTCTGGGACTCCCCTTCTTCCCTCACAAGAGTAAATTAGGAGGCTTTCCTTTAAGCTCCTATAACACTCTATACTTTTCCTATCATAACTTGTGTTATATTGTAATTTAAATGATTTATTCAGCAAGTTCATGGCTTTTTTTCTGAGATGGAGTCTCGCTTTGTCGGCCAGGCTTGAGTGCAGCGGTGTGATCTCTGCTCACTTCAACTTCCGCTTCCCAGGTTCAAGCAATTCTCCCTGCCTCAGCCTCCCAAATAGCTGGGATTACAGGTGTCCACCACCACGCCCAGCTAAGTTTTGTATTTTTAGTAGAGACAGGGTTTCACCATATTGGCCAAGCTGGTCTTGAACTCCTGACCTCAGGTGATCGGCCTGGCCTGCCTCAGGCTCCCAAAGTGCTGGGATTACAGGTGTGAGCCACTGTGCCCAGCAAGTTCATGGTTTAACAGCCTGTCTTCCCTGTTAGACTTCCTATCAGGTCCTACCATGTCTAACTTGTTTTGTTATGTTTCCCACGCCTAGTACATTTTTGGCATTAAATAAATATTTGTTGTTTGGATGAATAAACTTTAGCCAGTGTAGCTCATTTTATCATTATACTTTTTTCTTTGAGAAATCCTAGGACTGTAGCTGTGTTTGTGTTCTTTATTACTTGATTTATATTTGTTCTTTTGTTATTTTTGTTATTTTTGCATTTGTTCTTTTCCACACCCACAAGTTCTTTGAATACAATTATTTGACCAGCACTGCCTAAATTCTAGGGAGATGTCCATTTAAAAGCAATTTCCCTCCTGTCTCACAAAAATATAAGCTTTTTTCCCTTTCTCTCAAATGATGGTGGTGTAGACAACCTGTGAAATCTCAGATCTTTCTTAGAGAAGAAAGGATCAGACATATTAAGGAGCTGTTATCTATGCTTCAATTTTGAGGATGATTCTCATTACCTGCCATTTGTGAAGCACTTAGCTTCTTTTCTTTGTGTTGTAATTGGCATTGAAGAGATCCTGGTAAGCCTCTATCCCTGAGGAAAGATATGAAAATATTTAGATTTACTACATATGTGAAACCAGCAGACATTAGTCCTATTCATCAGTTTCTGCTACTGGAATGACTGTAGCATCTCAATGTATCCAGTCTACTACCCTAAGGGATCTTCTATTTAGGATAGTCAATAGCTACAGGATGAACAGTGAGAAAATGCTGGCCACTGAGATCCACCTCTGCCCTAAACTTGCCCATCACCCCTCCCTTAAAAAATTGTAATTTCAGACCAGCCATGGATGCCCAACACCCCTCCCTTAAAAAATTATAATTTCAGGTCCGCCATGGTGGCTATAATCCTAGCCCTTTGGGAGGTCAAGGCAAGAGGATCGCTTGAGCCCAGGAGCTAAAGACCAGCTTGGGCAACATAGCAACACCCTGTCTCTACAAAAAACAAAAAAAATTAGCCAGATGTGGTGGCATGGGCCTGTAGTCCTAGCCACTCAGGAGGCTGAGGTGGGAGGAATGCTTGTGCTTGGGAGGTCAAGGCAGCAGTGAGTCAAGATTGCACCACTTTGCTTTAGCCTGGGTGACAGTGAGATCCTATCTCAGAAACAAACAAACAAACAATCAAAAAACCAGTTATGATTTCCCCCATTTTACACAATAGGAAACAGAAGCTCAGAGTAATTAAATTATTTGTCTCAGGCTATACAGATAGTAAACGGAAGACCTGAGATTCAAACCTAGATTTGTCTGACTCCAAATATCAAGGCCATAATGCTTTACACTATTCCTATTGTTAGAAATAGAAGTTGTTTCAATTTTCTTTTTTTTCTGGCTCCAACTCTCAGCCTTGAGTTTCAAATTTTAAAAAAGTATAAACATTGTTGTGGTGAATACCCTTACAGAGAAACCTTTGCATCTATGACTATTTTACAACTTTCTTTTTTTAAAAACTTTTACAACTATTTTACAATTGTCAAATTGCATTTTTAACAGCATATGTACGTGTGTGTAAGAAAGAGAAACAAAGATAGAGAACACTTCTGAAAATCTGAAACCCTGGGTGACCTTTCCTTTATTCAGGAAAGTAAAATCTGGGAAAGGCAGGAACATATTAATACTTTCAAGATACTTCATACAGATCTGAAGTAATTTATTAGTTTAAGAACACAAAAATACATCATATAAAACTGGGTTTGCTTATAATATGATAAGTAAAATTTAATTACATTTAAGTAAATGTGACTTAACTCAAACATTTAATTATAATCAATTTTATAAATTTAATAAAGTGTCTTTAGTTTTGATACTTGTAGAACTAAAACTTTAAAAAATATGAAATCTCATAGTTTTGTGGCTTTATAAGAAGCAGTTTAAAAAGTAAAACTAGGCCGGGCGCAGTGGCCCACGCCTGTAATCCCAGCACTTCGGGAGGCCGAGGCGGGTGGATCACGAGGTCAGGAGATCAAGACCATCCTGACTAACACGGTGAAACCTCGTCTCTACTAAAAATTAAAAAAAAAAAATTAGCTGGGCATGGTGGTGGGCGCCTGTAGTCCCAGCTACTTGGGAGTAGAGATCACGTCGCTGCAATCCAGCCTGGGTCTCAAAAAAGAAAAGTAAAACTAGAAGAAATACTAAACATTGTAGTTAAACAAAAAATTATTATGGTTTATTAATTTAGTATCCCCTAAAGTATTTATTAGATTCAACTCATTTTCAAAGAGGGGCCTGGGAGAAAAGGAGGTATTAGTCTCAGAACTGCTCTTAACTTTTGAAAGTGGAATTTTATCTAACTTGTCTTATTTTCTCAGTTTTTACTAACATTGAATTCTTCTTCTGGTGCTTCCTCTTTATTACCTACTTGAATTTCTTCTCTTTTTCTCATTTTTTCAAGACAGAGTCTCCCTCTGTGGTCCAGGCTGGAGTGCAGTGGTGTGATCGTGGCTCACTGTAGCCTTGACCACCCAGGCTCAAGAATCCTTCCACCTCAGCCTCCCGCGTAATTGGAACCATAGGTGCATGCCACCATACCCAGCTAATTTTTTATTTTCTGTAGAGACAAGATCTCCTTATGTTGCTCAGGCTGGTCTTGAACTCCTGGGCTCAAGTGTTCCTCCCTCGTCTACTTCCCAAAGTGTTGGGATGGCAAGTGTGTGCCACTGTGCCCAACCTGTAATTTCTGAAGCTCGGGTTTGTCCTTATTCAGATAGGTCATTTTATATTTATTTTACTGATGTTCCTTGATTCATGATGGGGTTACATCCTTATAAACCCATCATAAGTTGAAAATATTGTAAATTGAAAATGCATTTAATTCACCTAATCTACATAGCTTAGCCGAGCCTACCTTAAATGTGCTCAGAACACTTACATTAGCCTACATGTGGGCAAAATCATCCAGCACAAAGCCCATTTTGTAATAAAGTGTTGAATGCCTCATGTAATTTATTGACTCCTGTACTAAAAGTGAAAAACAGAATGGTTGTATGAGTATTTGAAGTTGAGTTTCTACTGGATGAGTATTGCTTTTGTACCACTATAAAGTCAAAAAATGTTAAGTTGAACCATTGTTAAGTTGGGGACCATCTGTATTTCTAAATATAAACAAATTTCTTTTGCATGATGTAAAAGATGCAGTAGATAGGGAAATACTATGTTCTCAAGAAGCAGGAGGAAAGCAGAATTCAAGGCAGTGTAAAGATCTTTTTTTTTTCCTTTTGAGACAGGGTCTTGCTCTATTGCCCAGGCTGAAATGCAGTGGTGCAATCTTAGCTCACCCTATCCTCTGCCTCCTGGGCTCAAGCAATCCTCCCACCTCAGCCCCTGGAGTAGCTGGGACTACAGGTGTGCACCACCACACCCAGCTAATTTTCGTATCTTTTTTTGGTAGAGGCTGGTCTCAAATTCCTGGGCTCAAGTGATCCACCCACCTCAGCCTCTCAAAGTGCTGGGATTACAGATGTGAGCCACCATGCCTGGCCAGGCAATGTAAAGTTCTTATTACCTGTCTTTAAAAAGACACTCATGGCACAATTTCAAACCTTACCTTGGATCAAACATTGGAGAAAGACTTTATTTTACAAAGTTTCAAATGACTGAAGAACCTTACATTTGGAATGAACCTAATCCAGCCTCTCATCTAATGTAGGAATTCCCTTTACATGTAGTGTTGTCTAGTTTTTGCTTAACTACTTTCAGTGACAAGGAACTCACTACCTCAAAAGATAGCTTGCAGAGTCAAGAACACTAGAAAAGATACACTCAAAATAGAAAGTAAATGGATAATTGTGAAAGAGGAAAGAAATATTCTTCTTATGTTCTGATAAAATATAGATCAGGCTGTCAGTTTTGGTCATTAGTGGCTGCTTACTTAAATTTGTTGTTAGGTGATTGAGAAAAAGCTATTGTTAATGTCACAGGCAAATCTCCCTTCCCAATTTTAGCCCAGGGTCAGTCATGGCTGATTTACCAGCTTTTGTTTACCAGCTATATTTGAAATATAGACCATGGCTGATTTACCAGCTTTTGTTTACCAGCTATATTTGAAATATAGACCCTTTTTCTACACTTTGACTTGGTTATGGGTTTAGGTCTTCTTTATGATCTTCTAAATTTTTTCTTCTTTAAACTGGCACTCAAAATATCTCAAGGGATAACTTATAACTCCTTGAGCCCCCTAGAGTATTTTGTATACTAACATAAAAACAGCTTCTTCTTTGGGAGGACAGGAGGGAGAATTCTGCTCTTCCTATCAAAAAAGATGTATATCTTTTTCTTTTCATAAAAAATCTTTCTCTTCAATTCCAATGTTTTGTTTTATAACTAAACTTACCATTTAATAAATATTTGAAGAGTATTTTAATTGTTTCATCATAATCTTTATGAGTATTTAATATATTAATAATTTTTTTTTTCTGAGATGGAGTCTCGCTCTGTCACCAGGCTGGAGTGCAGTGGCATGATCTCAGCTCACTGCAACCTCTGTACCCCAAGTTCAAGCAATTCTCCTGCCTCAGCCTCTTGAGTAGCTGGGACCACAGGCACATGACGCCACGCCTAATTTTTGTATTTTTAGTACAGACAGAGTTTCACCATGTTGACCAGGATGGTCTCGATCTCTTGACTTTGTGATCCGCCCACCTCGGCCTTCCAAAGTGCTGGGATTACAGGTGTGGGCCACTGCGCCCGGCCAATAATCTTAATAATTTCCTTTTTTTTAAGGGGCTTCCTGGTAAAGATCGGAAAACCTGCTAGACAAAATTCTGAAAGAGCTGTAGCACTAATAATTCTTTATCATAATTCATTTATCACCCTTAATACATTCATTACTTACCTTTTACTGTGGGAGATGGGTACCTTTGTTAGAGGATTCAGCTTAAATTTTGGTTTAATTTCTGAAACTGCCATGTGGCCAGTGACTCTGTCTGGAATTCAGAATATACAATTAAGAAATCAGTTTACAGATGAATTCTTTATATTCTTTTGCAACTTTTTCAGCTCAAAGCCTGGAGTTTGAAAAGTCTAGGGCCTCGAGGAATGATAATAGATGCAAACTCAAGTTAGAGGTATGCATAAAGTTGGAAGGCCATATGGAAACACCTCTTCATTGTTCCCAGATTTCCAAGCAAAGTTGCTTATTGCTGCTCCCCCTTCAAGTAGTGTCATTCTGATCCTATGTAAAAATAAATGCCAAGTGAAATAAACCAGATACAGAAAGACTGCTATATGATCTAACTAATATGTGCAATCTAAAATAGTCAAACTCATAGAAGCAGAGAGTAGAATGGTGGTTGAGGAAGGAGATATGGGGAGATGTTGGTCAGTGATACAAAGTTTGAAGATGAATAAATTCTGAAGATCTAATGAACAGCATGGTGACTATAGGTAATAATACCGTACTGTATACCTGAAACTTGCTAAGAGATTAGATCCTAAGTGTTCTCACTACACACACACACACACACACACACACACACACACACAATAGTAGCTATGTGAAGTGATGAATATGTTACTTAGACTGATTGTGGTGATTATTTAACAATGTATACATATACCAAATCATCTAGTTGTACACTTTAAATAATACAAATGGTGCCATGTGACACAGATAATGAGCATTCTGGAAATATTTGGAAAAAGTTATTTAAAGATGCTATTTAATTATGAAATCAGTAGAGCATTTCAAGTCATAATTGACAAAGAATAAAATGTATTTGCCTACTTGTTTACATCTTAGATACCTGCCTAGTAGTAAGTAGTTTCTCCCAGGGTGTCTTTTTGGGAGACTCATCCCTGCCCTGTCACTTCTTGGGAACCAACTGTTTTTGTTTTTTTTTTGTTTTTAGATGTGTAAAAAGGCTTTATTTGCAGGGGAGCAGGAATTTAATAAAAGAGACCAAATTCCATGTCATTGTCTGACTCTTTGGACACCTCCTCCTCCTCCTCCTCTTCTCCTCTGCTGCAGCGGGGGTGGAACCAGCAGCAGGAGCTGCAGTGCCTGGGGCAGCAGAGACAGCCACAGCCCCACCGGCAGGTACACTGGCAATCTCGCCAATATCCTGGGCAATGACGTCTTCAATGCTTTTTTCATTCAGCTCACTGATAACCTTGTTGAGCTGGTCGTCGTCCGCCTGGATGCCTAGGCTGCCCAGGATCCTCTTGATGTCTTTGGCGCTGAGGGAGGGGTTGCCCCCGAGGGCAGCTATCAGGTGGGAGGGACCTAGCGCACCAGGGCCGGCGTCTACGGCAGCGGCGGTGGCGGCGAGGCCTCCGTGCGTGCAACCTCGGCGGAGTCAGGGAGGAAAAACCCAACTGGTCTTGGTTAACAGTAGGAATGGGGGTGGAATACAATGCAGTTCTGCTACCCTAGACCGCGGAAGGAACTCGTGAATTACCGTCGCCTTTCCACTTGGCATAGTTTGAGAAACAGGGCTTATGGACCAGAAGCTGGGTTGGTAGGACTTCCCCCTTTGTTGTTCTTTTCTTTCCAACTATCTTTTCAAAATGTAGAGTGTATTTGATAACTCACTGACAAGAAAACTAGGTTGCTGACTTAAGAATAATGGATAACTGAATACTATTCAACCATGAGGGAAAAAGGTCTCTGAATGTTTGGTTAGAATTTGATCCATTTTCCCAGGTCTTCACCTCAGAGCCCAGAAAGCAGTTGTTTCTAAACAAATCAATTACAAGTCCTCAAAATCTGAAAACCTACCACAGAGCTGGGAACTCCGGAATGGCTCAACAATTCAGGCACTTGAAAGGTGCTGTGAAATCATCCCCATGCCTCAAAATAATCATTACTTTAAAAAAATACCTTCAATTCTCATAGATTATAGATTTTTTAAAAAGGACTTAGCATAGAATCCTACAAAATCGTGATATTCACCTACTTTTAAGCCGTGCTACCTACCACTTCTGGGCTTCAATCAGATCAGGAATCCAATAAAGGGTTTGTTCTATCACACAACTGTGACCTCATTCACTGCTCAGGCTCAAGCTGAGGGAGAGAATGACCCAGGAGCTCCTTCCAACCTTACAGCAAGTGTGTTTTCAATGTGGTTCATTCAGCACCCTTGGTGTATATGAGGGTGTGATTTATAAAATCTGAACATTTTGACACTGTTGGGATTTCAGGGAAAGGGGAGAATTTTTGTTTCAAGTTCTATGTTAATATATTTTCATGTTAATGTCTTCATCAAGCTGGGCCTGGTGGCTCATGCCTGTGATCCCAGCACTTTGTGGGGCTGAGGAGGGCGGATCACCTGAGGTCAGGAGTTCGAGACCAGCCTGGCCAAATGATGAAACCCCCATCTCTATTAAAAATACAAAAATTAGCTGCGTGTGGTGGCACACACCTGTAATCCCAGCTACTCAGGAGGCTGAGGCAGAAGAATCGCTTGAACTCAGCAGGCAGAGGTTGTGGTGAACTGAGATCACGCCCCTGCACTCTAGCCTGGGTGACAGAGAGAGACTCTTGTCTCAAAAAAAAAAAAAAAAGTCTTCAGTCAGTTGAAAGTTGTTCGGTTAAAACATTTTACTCAGCTACCTTCACTGAATGGTGATTAAGAAACATTTCATTAATTGTTTAAGCCTAGGAAGAGGGGCAAAAAAACTCTCATAGGCTTGTAGTCTTTAGTATTATTGGGAAAAGTGATTTCAAAAGAGTAAATACAGAAAAGATTGTTTTAAGCAGAAACCAAGGTATTCATGATCTGACATGTCTCATGGCATTGTAAACCCTCTAGTGCAAGAGTTAGGGGTGTCTTTAGTCTATCATGCCTAAGGACAGATATCTCTGGCACCCAAGGCTTAGCTAGTTATGTAGTTGGGCCCCCAAAAGTGCTTCACATTTCACTTGCAGCAATTCTAGAGGTTTCCTATTCCTGCTTAGGGGGGTTTGTTCATTATGAGCATAATTTGACTTTAACCTAGTCTTTTAAAACTTGGTACACTGCCTCCCATTCTGGACAGGAACAAACAAGGAAAGAAAGGGAAGGCTTAATTTATAAATTAATTCAACAATTATTCACCAAAAGCCTACTACATTAAACACTACTTATTTTTTATGTTTTTTTTTTTGTTTGTTTTTTTTTTTGGTGAGGTCTCACTATGTTGCCCAGGGTTGAGTGCAGTAGCAGGATCATGGTTTACTGCAGCCTCGACCTCCCAGGCTCAAGTGAATCTTCCACCTCAGCCTCCCCAGTAGCTGGGACTACAAGGTGCAGGTCACCATGTCCAGCTAATCTTTTTGTATTTTTGGTAGAAATGGGGTTTCACTATGTTGCCCAGGCTGGTCTTGAAATCCTGGCCCCCAGTGATCTCCTTAGCCTCCCGAAGTGCTGGGATTACAGGTGTGAGCTACCACGCCAAGCCTTATTGTTGTGTTACAGCATTCTTTATATATTTTGGAGACTAGATCCTTATCAATTACAAAATTTACAAGTATTCTTCCCTATTCTGTGGGTTGTCTTTTTACTTTATTGATAATGTCCTTTCAGTCACAGAAATTAGTCCTAGAATTTTAAAGCTGAAAGATAACTAATAGATCATCAACCTAATTCTGCCCCCAACCCACCACATTTTTAAAATTATACTTTAAGTTCTGGGATACATGTGCAGAATGTGCAGGTTTGTTACATAGGTATACACGTGCCATCGTGGTTTGCTGTACCCATCAACCCATAATCTACATGAGGTATTTTTCCTAATGCTATCTCTCCCCTAGCCCCCCAATCCCCTGACAGGCCCTGGTGTGTGATGTTCCCCTTCCTGTGTCCATGCCCGCTTCATTTTTCTTTTATAGAGACAAGTTCTTTCTCTGTTAGCCAAGGCTGAAGTACGGTGGTGCAGTGATGGCTCAATGCAGCCTCCAATTCTTGGGCTCAAGTGATCCTTCCACTCAGCCTCCTGAGTAGCTAGGACTACAGTAGGCAAGTACCACCATATCCGATTAATTTTAAAATTTTTTATAGAGAGGGGTCTCGCTGAGTTGCCCAGGCTGGACTCATACTCCTGGCTTCAAGTGATCTTCCTGCCTTGGCCTCCCAAGGCTCTAGGATTACAGGTGTGATCCAGTGCTCCAGGTCCTCACTCATTTTATTTTACTGCTAAGGACACTAAAGCCCAATGAACTGAATTAATTTCTTTAATGGCAGAGTCAGGAACACCTGCTTTGTAAATTGCACGTGATACCAAATAGGCTATGACAAGTTGATGGGTGCTGACGAGTTGATGGGTGCAGCACACCAACATGGCACAAGTATACATATGTAACAAACCTGCACGTTATGCACATGTACCCTAGAACTTAAAGTATAATAATAATAATAATAAAATAATAAAAAAATAAAAAACAAATATCTTAAAAAAAATCACAAATGGAGCATTAGAAAGGAATATAAAATACATGATAATCACATATGATTCAGTGTGGTGTGGACCATAAAGGCACAAGGAACTTAGAAAGACAGTTGGAGAGAGAATGGTGTTCATTCACCTTATGGACAAGTAGATGGAGGATAGAAACTGACAAGACAATTAGGGAAAGTAACTATGGTATTAAAAAATGTAAGTCAAAATGTTAAGCCCCATCTTTATAATGGCTTCACATCAGCTTTCACACTCACCTTTAATATCATTTGCAGTTTTCAGCTTATGCAGAGTCTCCATTCCTTTTGCTTAAAGACAAGATTAAGAATCAAAATTACATAAATTTCTGAAGTTATGGAAAGTAGACTAGGAGGGCATAATTTATCTTATTTTTTTTTCCCCAGATGAGTGAAAAAATTAAGAAAATGTCAAGGTTATATGGGATATCCATCCTCATTCATATTGTTTCTTTTGGTGCCTTAATGTATTGCACTCCAAAAGCAAAAACTGAAAAGCACTATAGTGTCAGCATTGAAATCAAGACTGTTCATTTATCATCTTTTAGGATGTAAAGAAGTGAAATGACTTTGAAAATCTGTTGATTAAGGAGCAAGATGATGATCTGTTACCCACTTCATTTTCATGAATGCTTTGTTTAGGAAGGTATTGACTAATTAGATACCTTTTAATGAGATAGATATTTCTTTCTAGTGAATTATCCTATGAAATATGTGGGTATAATTAACTAACTGCAAAATCTTCCTTCACCCCACCCCTTTCTATGGGCAGAACAACCAACCAACCAAAACCTTAATAGTACAGATTTAACTCTGTTTCTTTTCTTTCCTCTAAAAATGTGGGGTAGCTTTGTTTTCTAAGTGTGAGGAGATTAATACTCAGGAGAAAAGTGTGGCTATAATAACTCAGTTTCCTGTATTTGGTTTGGTTTGGCCTGGTCAGATAAACCAACAATGTATTATTTTAATATCAAAAAAGGTCCATGGCAGATGATGAAAACATGGAAACATGGAAAATGTTTGGTGATCCCTTTAGGTTATAGAGCCACATAAGGTAATATATAATGCAGAAAGCAATACACAGAAAGAAGAAATATCTTTCCTATGGGGAAAGGATTAATTCTAATATAAAACACATAATCTGTAGAATTCAGAAAAACCTACATCTATAAAGCATCTTTTCTTTCCCTGCCTCTGATCTGTTATTCTCTCTCTCCCTATTGCTTGGCTCTTCGCCCTTTCTAGATATTAGTTTGCTAGAGGCACCCTATGCCATTCTTAGACACTGCATGCGGCAACATTCTGGTTGAGAATGTGACTTAGAAGATGACAAGAAGCAGACTTTATTTTTATATGGCGACTTTTTTTTTCTAAATGTATATTAGACGTTCTCTGTGTCCCTAGTAAGTACAGTTTTAGAAATTCTCACGTGGAACCTTACAACCCAAGTGCCTCTGAAGGCCAGAGTGAAGCTCTGAATGTTCACCACCAAATAATAAAAATTTTAGCAGGTCTTGAAGTTGTTCATATGTAAATGTTATTTCCATGTTATCATGCTTACGTAGCTGAAATTCACCTTTATTCTTTAGAAAGTAGAAATGGTGAAATGGAAATGGGAGAAAAAGTTATTTAAGTGTGAAAAGTGCCATTGCCATTATGCCTATGTCTGTCATCTGAAATTTGAGTGTGAAGACTTAAATCACAGTAGTACATTTGAAGGCAAATGTGTCAATATGGCATTAAGAAATAAAATTTGGCCGGGCGCGGTGGCTCAAGCCTGTAATCCCAGCACTTTGGGAGGCCGAGACGGGCGGATCACGAGGTCAGGAGATCGAGACCATCCTGGCTAACCTGGTGAAACCCCGTCTCTACTAAAAAATACAAAAAACTAGCCGGGCGAGGTGGTGGGTGCCTGTAGTCCCAGCTACTCGGGAGGCTGAGGCAGGAGAATGGCGTAAATCCGGGAGGCGGAGCTTGCAGTGAGCTGAGATCCGGCCACTGCACTCCAGCCTGGGCGACAGAGTGAGACTCCGTCTCAAAAAATAAAATAAAATAAAATAAAATAAAATAAAATAAAATAAAAATAAAATTTGTCCCTTAATACTTATATGAAGAATTTTTTTTTTTTTTTAGAGTCTCACTCTGTCACCCACGCTGGAGTGCAGTGGTGCAATCTTGGCTCACTGGAGCCTCTGCCTCCCAGGTTCAAGCAATTCTCCTGTCTCAGCCTCCCAAGTAGCTGGGAGTGTGCCACCAAGCCTGGCTAATTTTTGTATTTTTGTAGATCCAGGGTTTCACTATGTTGGCCAGATTGCTCTCTAACCCCTGACCTCAAGTGATCCACCTGCCTCGGCCTCCCAAAGTGCTGAGATTACAGGCGTGAGCCACCGTGCCCAGCCAAAGAAAACTTTATAAGTGAAAATGGAGTATTATTGAGTGAATCTTTGAAATAGAAACCAGTATTTGAAATTTCTAAAAATATGAAACATACTTTAAACATCTAAATTTTCTCTAAGGCACTGCAGACTTCACAGAATAAAATATATTTCAGTGGCAGCAAGTGGATTGGGGCTTATGAAGTGAAGAAAGCATGTGGGCGAGCTGGGTAGCCATGTGAAATGTATATGTTTGATAAAGAGACTGGAAGAAAAAGAAAGAATAACACTAGAAAAACAAGGGGAAGCTGGAGCAAAAGAAAAAAATATATTTTTAGAGATATGGAGAAGATAATAAAAGAGAAAAAAAGAAAAAGTGGAAGAGGAGAAAGAAGAATGATAGAAAAGTAAGCAAAGAGATCTGTAGTGTTGTGCCTTTCTGGCTTTATAAATGGTTAACAGCTAATTCTGATATGGGTGACTCGCCTGTGTTACCTGGGGTTGTTAGTTTTACAGAACTGTTTGTTCTGAGTTGCCCAGATATGAGGGATTATCTTAAGAATGACGCTGATACAGCCGTTTTGGTTAGTGAATCTTCAATTATCTGAAAGCGGGAGACTAGAACCTCTATCAGGCAACCAACAAGTATTTATTGAGCATATACTATGTACTCAAAAACTAAGCTTTTGTGAGAGCGGGAACCTTGCTTTATCTTTTGTTCACTGCTAAACTTTCTTGAACAGTGTCTGGGTGCTCAAAAAATACTTATTGGTGAACACAGAACTTATACATGGCCATGGGAGATGGTTTCCAGTATCTCCAACTGGTAACATGATTTTAAATGCTGGGGATAAAAACTACCAGATGAACATTCCTGAAAATTTTCCAGTACCAGCAACAAAAGCAGCAATAGATGGGATAGACTGGACTTATTAAAAGGTATATATATTTTTCTTTTACAAATAAAATACAATAGGACTAATTTGGAAATGTTAGGCATGGGTACCTAGAATTTAAATTTATTTTTTTATTAAAATACATTTTGTGGATACTTGCATAACCTACCTTATTCTTACATCCTCCTTTTTTTTTTCTGTTTACAGACAAGGTCTCACTCTATCACCCAGGCTGGAGTGCAGTGGGGCAATCACAGGTCACTGCAGCTTCGACCTCCTGGGCTCAAGCAATTCTCCCACCTCAGCTTCCCAAGTAGCTGGAACTACAGGTGTATGCCACCACCACACATGGCTAATTTTTGTAATTTTGTGTAGAGATGGGGTTTTGCCATGTTGTCCAGGCTGCTCTCCAACTCCTGGCCTCAAGCAATCTGCCTGTCTTGGCCTCCCAAAGTGCTGGGATTACAGAAGTGAGCCACCATGCCCTGCAACATCCTCCTTTTTTGAAACACAGTCAGGCTTGCAGAGACACAGCAAATTTCTTTTTTGTCACACTTGTTAGGAATGCAGATGCAGAGAACAAACCAAAATTACTTAAAAATGAATTCAAAATTGAGGTTGTACGTGTGTGGGAAGAGGGCAGAGACAAGTTTTACCTTGCCTCTGTTGATCAATTTCACAGCATAATGTTCAAATCTCCCATTCATTCTTTTCTGTGTAAGCATGGAACATGACATTTTCACAATAAGAAAATTATTTTAGAAATAATTAAATATAAGGGGCCTACAAGCAAAAAGTACTGAGATTATGTATTAAATTTCAGAGGCATCCAGAAAGGAACTTTAGATTATTAGCTATATTTATTTATTTATTTTTTGAGACAGAGTCTTTCTCTGTCACCCAGGCTGGAGTGTAATGGCACAATCTCAGCTCACTGCAACCTCCGCCTTCCAGGTTCAAGCGATTCTCCTGCCTCAGCCTCCCAAGTAGTTGGGACTATAGGCGCACAACATGACACCTGGTTAATTTTTTTATTTTTAGTAGAAGTGAGGTTTCACCATGTTAGTCAGGCTGGTCTCGAACTCCTGACCTCAGGTGACCCGCCTGCCTTGGCCTCCCAAAGTGCTGGGATTACAAGCATGAGCCACCGTGCCCGGCTTAGCTATATTTATAAACAAGTAAGATTTTAATATGAGTAAGAAAATGGAATGGAATGCAAATATATTGGACATGGATAAAAATGCACAGAAATTATGTATGCATAAGGAAAAAATTTGTGGTGATAAAAGTATGCATTATCATTGTAGGACAGAATTAAGAATTATTAAAATTTCCTTTTTTCATCTTGTCATTTGCTAAATATAGAAATTTTCTATAATGAACACATATTACTTTTATAACCAAGAAAACACAGATAAAAATCCACATATAGCATCAGATTACAATTTTATATCATATCATAAATTTTCACTTACGTTTAAACTTCTTCAGGCCCTCCATTATTGACTTAACATTAATCTTTCCATTTCCTGTAAAACATTTTGGTTTAGATACAGAGGCAATCACATAAAAATTCATAAAAGTTGTGAAATTATTAAAAACAACATAGTAGGCTGAAATTCTTCCATGAGTTAGAAGAACTAGAGACATTGGTTTGCTTTGGAATTTGGATTCATTTTTCTGTCAGGTGAATATGATGGAAAAAAAGATGAACTTATGTTTTGGCTCTGTCTGGCTCTGTCCTTCAGGCTGGAGTGCAGTGGCGTGATTATGGCTCATTGCAACCTTGACCTCCCTGGCTCAAGCGATCCTCCCACCTCAGCCTCCTGAGCAGCTGGGACTGCAGGTGTGTGCCACCACACCCAGATCATTAAACATTTTTTTTTTTTTTTATAGAGATGGGGGTCTCCCTATGTTGCCCAGGCTGGTCTTGAACTCCTGGACTCAAGTGATCGTCACGCCTTGGCCTCCCAAAGTGTTGGGATAACAGGTGTGAGCCACCGTGCCTGGCAAGGATGAGTCTTTGAAAGAGACATCTATTTCTACTTTTTTTTTTTTGAGGCAGGGTCTCACTCTGTCACCCAGCCTGGAGTGCAGTGGCACAATCTTGGCTCAGTGCAACCTCTGCCTCCTGGGTTAAAGTGATTCTCACGCCTCAGACTCCCAAGTAGCTGGGATCACAGGCATGTGCCATCATGCCCAGCTAATTTTTTTATTTTTAGTGAGATGGGGTTTTGCCACATTGGCCAGGCTGGTCTCAAACTCCTGGTCTCAAGCAATCCACCCACTTCAGCCTCCCAAAGTTCTGGGATACAGTTGAGCCGCCGTGCCTGGCCCTATCTCTACTTTTTAAAAAGCAGTTCATCTTTTCTGTGCTTTAGAAAATTGTATTAATCAAAGGGACAAAAGTAAGAAGGAACAAGGTATTTTGAGGGAACTGTGAGTAGTTCAGTTGGTTTGGAGCATGACATGTTGGAAGTAGTAGAGGAGAAAGCTGAGAAGTACATGGGGGCTATGTTGCAGTGGGTTTTGTTTGGACTTTTTTGGGAAGATAGCAAGGAGTCATGAAGGCTTTTGATCACTGTTATGTAAAGATTGATCTGAAGGCAATCTGCCTTTTTAGAGGCAGGATACAGAGAGATAAATGAAACTGAATATGTTGGCAAGGAATTATTTAAGGAGTAATTTTTGAAGAGAGACTAGATGAGGTCAAGAGTAGTGGATTTAGAAGGGTTGTAAAGAATCTCTTCAACTGGCCGGGCGCGGTAGCTCATGCCTGTAATTCCAGCACTTTGGGAGGCTGAGGCAGGTGTATCACTTGAGCCCAGGAGTTGGAGACCAGCCTGGGCAACATGGTGGTACCCCGTCTCTACAAAAAATACAAAAATTAGCTGGGCATCGTGTTGTGTGCCTGTAGTCTCAGCTTCTTGGGAGGCTGAGGTAGGAGGACAGCTTGAACCCAGGAGACAGAGGTTGCAAGGTTGAGCCCAGGAGCTGATATCATACCACTGCACTTCAGCCTGGGTGATAGAGCCAGACCCTGTCCCAAAAACAAAAAACAAAATCTCTTCAACTGAAGAGAGAAGAGGAAGAAAACATAGGCGAAAAGGAAGAAATGAAAACCTAGAGAGAACAGAACATGGAGATATGTTTGCAATGGATAGGTTCAAATTTATTGCTATAAAACCATGATTTGAGAAACCTAATGATTCAGTGTCTCATCTCCTACTTTCAGATGGGCTTCATAGAGAAAACGAAGTATGTCTCCTTTCTTCATCCTTGTATTCCTAGTACCTAGTATAGGGCCTGACATATTCAGTGACCAATAAATATTTGCTGGTTGAACAAATCAATATACTCTTTCAAATTCAAGGCCAGAGCTGAGAAACTCTCTGACAACATCATTGAAGCATTATAGTAAGAAATGCTATCCTCTGATGCACTTAGAACATCTTTTTTTGGGGTATCAGAACAAAAAAGAAGTGGTAGAAATAAAAAAGTATTTATATAGCACAAGGGCCAGTGAGTAAGCCATGTAAATAGACTCAATAAACAATAATAAAATTTCAATAAACAAATCAACCAACCCCAAATTCCCCTTCCTTCCCCTGTGTATCTCTTCCTAATACTCATTTTTGTTTTCTAGTTTTACTTGCTGTAATATTTTTCCTTATTTTTCAGGATGGAATCATACCCTCAGGCACAACTTAGCATATTGGTTGTATTTGTGATTTAAGAAATGAAAGTCAGGCACAATCTTTTTTTTTTGGAGACGGAGTCTCACTCTGTCACTAGGCTGGAGTGCACAGGTGTGATCTTGGCTCACTGCAACCTCCGCCTCCCGGGTTCAAGAGATTCTCCTGCCTCAGCCTCCTGAGTAGCTGGGATTACAGGCATGTGCCACCATGCCCGGCTAATTTTTTAATTTTTAGTAGAGACGGGGTTTCACCATGTTGGTCAGGCTGGTCTCGAACTCCTGACCTCAGGTGATCTACCCGCCTCAGCCTCCCAAAGTGCTGGGATTACAGGCGTGAGCCACCACGCCCAGCAAGTCAGGCACAATCTTAACATATCATGTCTTTTCTTCATCTTTTAGGTCTTTGATAGGCAAAAGGTGGCTTGTGCACCAGCATCGTTGGCATCATCTGAGAGTTTGTTAGAAATGCAGAATCTCAGGCTCTACCCTATTCTTGAACGGAAATCTGCTTTTTTTCTTCTTTTTTTCTTTTTTTAAGGAGACAGGGTCTTGCCCTGTTGCCCAGGCTGGAATTCAGTGATGCAATCATAGCTCATTGCAATCTCGAACTCCTGGGCTCAAGTGATTGTTCTGCCTCAGCCTCCCAATTAGCTAGGACTATAGGCATGTGCCATCACACCTGGCTAATTTTTAATTTTTTTTTTGTAGAGACAGGGTTTCAGTCTGTTGCCCAGACTGATATTGAGCTTTTGGCCTCAAGAGATCCTCCTGCCTCAGCCTTCCAAAGCACTGGAAGTATAGGTGTGAGCCACCATGTCTGGCCCCAAATCTGCATTTTAACAAGATGACCAAGTGATTCATATGCACATTTAAGTTTGGGAAGCTATGTTCTAGGTGTTACAAAGATAAGGATAATTTCTGAGGATGTTATGTACAGGACAACAAAAATACACTTCTTTTTCTTTCTTTTTTTGAGATGGAGTTTCGCTCTTGTTGCTCAGGCTGGAGTGCAATGGCACAATCTCAGCTGACTGCAACCTCCCCATCCTGGGTTCAAGCAATTCTCTTGCCTCAACCTCCTGAGTAGCTGGGATTACAGATGCCTGCCACCACACCCAGTTAATTTTTTGTATTTTTAGTAGAGATGAGGTTTCACTGTACTGGTCAGGCTGGTCTCAAACTCCTGACCTGAGGTGATCCACCTCCCTCGGCTTCTCAAAATGCTGGGATGACAGGTGTGAGTCATCATGCCCAGCCCAAAAATACACTTCTAAAAAGGCAACGTAATTATAAAATAAACACCTCACCATTAAATTTCAAATGAGGCATCAACTCCTTCATTTCTTCTTCCGTGAGCTCAATCCCTTCGCTTACTAGAAAGTTGTCTAAGTTCTGGACATCAATCACCTCACCTTAGAAAGGGTGAGAAATGAGTTGCAGAAATATTACAGAATTATTTGCAAAGGACAAAGAACACTATCTGTGCTTATATACATTATCATTCAGAATACAAGAGTCAGAAACAAAAATCTTTAATTCTGATTGAAAGAATCAGAAAGTGGCTACAAAGAAGAAAGTAACTAGGGGTTAGGAATTGACTGGTGGGTTGTTGCAAAATCCACAACAAATTAAAATACATATAGGGACTTAGTTTTATGTAACAACATTACAGATTAATGTAACAGAGGAAAGATAGAATTCCATCACTCTAACACAGGAACCGTTTTTAGTTTTTGATATTCCATTTTGGTCTTGGCAATAAGACTGTACTTCTACAATGTGGAAATCTAATATATGTACAATTCCATATTTTGCTTTTCCAACCTAAAATTATTCCTTCATAAACATGTTTCCAAGTTGCCATATAATCTTTACAGTTAGCATTTTAACATGTTATCCCATTAAACTGACATACCATGGTTTATGTAGTAATTCTCATATGGTTAGTTATTTCTAATCAGTTTCAATTTTCTCAATATTATACGAATGAAAGTCCTTAGGCAGAAATTTTTTCATTTTATTCAATAAAACACTATTTCTTTTTTTTTTTTGAGATGGAGTCTCGCTCTGTCACCCAGGCTGGAGTGCAGTGGCCGGATCTCAGCTCACTGCAAGCTCTGCCTCCCGGGTTCACGCCATTCTCCTGGCTCAGCCTCCCAAGTAGCTGGGACTACAGGCGCCTGCCACCTCGCCCAGCTAGTTTTTTGTATTTTTTAGTAGAGACGGGGTTTCACCGTGTTAGTCAGGATGGTCTTGATCTCCTGACCTCGTGATCTGCCTGTCTCGGCCTCCCAAAGTGCTGGGATTACAAGCTTGAGCCACCGTGCCCGGCAATAAGACACTATTTCTAAAAGATAAATATCTAAGAGTGGGGTTAGTGGGGAAAAGGGTATGAATAGTTCTGTGGCTCTTGATATCTATTACTACTTTGAAGAACTCTTTTGGGGAAAATTTTGGAGACTAGTATGGGCACTGATATATAAATACAGATTAGTTATTGTTTACTTAACTTCAGCAGCATCCACAAAAATGGAGCATATGTTATATGAAAAAATCTGAACACGTGTGAATGGAAAATATTCTTCTCCAACATCAATTGCAAATATTAAGATGTTACTTATAACATCTTTCCATTATAGCTTGCAACTCACCCTTGATGTAACTGACAGCATCCATTAAGTCATTCAGGTCAACTGCTGTCTCACCTATAAGGCAAGGGAAGTATACCTCAGAGTCAGATGAACTGATATTACTGAGACCCTCAACATTTATGCTATATGAAGTTCTGAAGTTATGAAGATCAAAAGAATTCAGTACTCTTTTTATTTTTTATTTTTTTGAGGTGGAGTCTCACTCTGTTGCCTAGGCTAGAGTGCAGTGGTATGATCCTGGCTCACTGCAACCTCTGCCTCCCGGGTTCACGTGATTTTCCTGCCTTAGCCTCCCAAGTAGCTGGGATTATAGGTGCATGCCACAATGCCCAACTAATTTTTTGTATTTTTAGTAGAGATGGGGTTTTACCATGATGGCAGGCTGGTCTTGAACTCGTGACCTCAAGTGATCCACCTGCTTTGGCTTCCCAAAGTGCTGGGATTACAGGTATGAGCTACCATGCCCAGCCAGAATTTACAAATCTTTAAATTTTTCCATAGAATTTTATGGACTTATTCTCAGAGATAACAGTGTTACCTTAGAAACAAAGAAAGCTTTAATTGTAACAAATCTATCGAATTTTTGGTTTTTCTTTGCTTTAAAGACCACCAGAGTGGCCTAAATTAAGAAGTGATTGGTTACAGTTAAGCATAGGGAGAGGATAAACAACTCTGACCCTATGTACTTTTATTCAGTCAATTAATCAACAGCTATTTATGTGTCAACTTCTAGGTGTCAGGCACTTGAATAGGCTTTGGGGATACAAAAGTAGGCAAGGTGACAGAGTTCTGGCTCTTAAGGAGTGTACAATGTAGTGAGAGAGACAGATAATAAACATATAGACAAAAAGGATAATTTGATGTACTGTTAAGATGCTATCAAAAATAAAATAGGGCAACATAATAAGGAGTTATAGAGGATGGAATTGATTTAGACAGGGAGGTCAGGGAAGGCCTCTCAGAGGAGGGTCTATTTGGGTTGAAGCCTGAATGATGAGAAATGTGAAGAATTGAGGGAAGAGCATTCCGAGTAGAAGAGCAGTGTGTGCAATAGTCCTAAGGTGGGAATGAATTTGCCATGATCAAGAGACAGAAGGTCAGTGTGACAGGGCCAAACCATGCAGGGCCTTGTAGGGCATGATGATAAAGTCTGGATTTTACTTTGGTTGCAATGGAATGTCATTGGAGGCCTTGGAAAACTGGAGTAACTTGACCTGATTTCAGCTTTCAAAAGATCACTCTGGCTGGTGTGGATAGGATAAGGAAACTGGAGGAATGGAGACCAGACAGGAGCCTGTTTCAGTGGCCCAGTAAAGAGGTAACAGTGGCTTGGGCTGTTGTAGTAGTGGAGATAGTGACAAGTAGTGGAGATGGTGACAAGTCATGGATTCAGGACTTATTTTTCATTTTAACCTAGTTTCTTTTTCAAAATTTTGTTTTCCCTTCTTTTCACAGGTGTTGATGAACCTAGATTTAAATGTGGGATATGAAGGAAGGAGAAATCAAAGATGAAACCTAGTCTACCTTCCCCAATCAACAGGGTGGATGGGATGCCTTTACTGAGTTGGGGAGGACTTAAGAAATTTTAGGAGAATTAACCAATAATTCCATTAAATTGGTGATGACTTTTAGAAATCCAAGTGGAGATATCAAATAACTCATTCAATACGCTATTGCTGACTTAGAGAAATTGAGCTAGAGATATAAATTTACTCTACCAGCTTAGAGAAGGTATCTGACCCAATGAGACTGAATGCAATCTCCTAAGAGGAGAGTATAGATAAAAACACAGCCAAGGGTCTAACCCTGGGTAACTTCATTATTTAGAGATCTTGCAATCTTGCAAGAGGGGAGGAACAGTCAAAAAGAAAACTGAGAAGAAAATGTCAGTGAGCGAAGAAGAAAACCAGGTGAGTATGGGGCTTTAAAAGCCTAGAGAAAAACACATTTCTTTTTCTTTTTTTTCAGACAGGGTCTTGCTCTGTCACCCAGGCTGGAGTGAAGGAATCACAGTGCATTGCAGCCTCCATCTCCCGGGCTCAAGTGATACCCCTGCCTCAGCCTCCTGAGTAGCTGGGACTACAGGCACGTGCCACCACAGCTGGATAGTTATTTTATTTTTTTGTAGAGACAGGATTTCACCATGTTGCTTAGGCTCGTCTCAAACACCTGGGCTCAAGCAATCCACCTGACTCAGCCTCCCAAAGCTCTGGGATTACAGGAATGAGCCACCGTGCCTGGTCGAAAAATGTATTTTAATAAAAAGGGGGTGGCCACTTATGTCAAATGCTGCTAAGATGTCAAGTAAAATAAGAACAAAGAATTGACTGTGAGCTTTGGCAAGAAGTAGATTATTGATAGTCTTGTTGAGAGCTCATTTGGTGCCATCGTGGAGATAAATACCTAACTGGAGAATGCTGAAGTGTGAATGGGAGGTGAGGATATGGAAACAATGAGTAACGACAACTTTTTGAGGCAACTCTGCTGTGCAGAGGAACCAGGAGATGATGTGGTAGCTAGTAGGGAGCAAGTATGAGAGAAAAGCATAGCTGCATGTCAAGAGAAATATAGAGAGAGATACTTCAGAGAGGGAGAAACTGATGATGCAGGAAAGGGGAAATATTGCAGGAGGTAAGTTTTTGAGAAGGCAAGAGGAAACAGGATCCAGGGTGCAAGTAGAAAGGCTGGCCCATGAAAGGAGCATTCTTTCCCCTTTATAGCAAGACAAAAGGCAGGGCATGTGGGCATAGGTATATGTAGGTTCATAGAAATGGAGGTAGGAAATGAGGTCTTTCTTCTCTAACTGCATCTATTGTCTCTATGAAGTTTGAAGTGAGATCATTAGCTGAGAGTTGAAGTGAGGAGATACTGGAAATTTGGACAGAGAAGGTGTGAAATTGTCTCTGAGAGTGAGAAAGTGAAGTTACTTGGAAAACATAGTGGGAACTTTTTTGGCAGTGTTAAGGGCTAACTTGAAGTTTCTGCCCATTACGTGAAATGAGTTCTATTAGTATGGCTTTGTGATCTTCTCCAGCAATGTTAAGCTGTTCAGGGGTAATCATGGAGTAAAAAATGGCCAAGATTTTGCCAAGGAAATTTGAAGTTCAGAGAGTTTGTAAGCTTATATGATGTTGAGGCAGTGAATCTAATTTAAGGAAGGAAGAAAATTAAGAGATGGTGGTGGTGGGGTTGTTGAATAATAAAAGAAAAGTAGGGTCGAAGGCATGAAGGTCTCCACATGGCTGGAATAGCTGGAGTTGGAGTTCTATACTCTGTTCTGGTACAACACATGATTCAGTAGCACTGTTTCATCATATTCAATTGGTAAATGGAATAATGTTACAGTAATGTGAACAGTGTGTTGGTTCATATGTAATTTTTCCTAAATAAGAAAGGAATCCTTTTCTTCAGCAAGCAAGAAAAAAATCTTAGGTTGGGGCTACAGCTGAAGCCCTTTCTGTTCCATATTTTAATAAAATTAAAAAATTAGTGCCTATGATGTAGGACAGGGAACCAGCTTCACTGGCTGAGAGTTCTACTTCCACCAACACTATTTCAGAATGGCAAGCCAGCTCTTTAAGTCCTTTTTAAGGATGTGTGTGTGTGTGTGTACGCATTTTTAATTTTTTTTTTTTTTTGAGATGGAGTCCTGCTCTGTTGCCCAGGCTGGAGTGTAGTCGTGTGATCTTGACTCACTGCAACCTCTCACTGCCTCCTGGGTTCAAGCGATTCTCCTACCTCAGCCTCCTGAGTAGCTAAGAGTATAGGTGCCCGCCACCACGCCTGGCTAATTTGTTGTATTTTTAGTAAAGACAGGGTTTCACCATCTTGGTCTGTTTAGTCTTGAACTCCTGATCTTGTGATCCACCCACTTTGGCCTCCCTAAGTGCTGGGATTGCAGGCATAAGCCACTGTGCCTGGCCCATTTTTAAATATCTTATAGCTGTTCTGTGCTATTTGCCTGGGCGGTACAAGTTTCCTTGTGCTTTTGGTAGTGTTCTGGTTACCAGCTGGCATAGATTTTGAGTGTGCTTCCAGAATTTTCTCCATAAGCTCCATTACTTTAGTGGGTAATTTTACAGAACAGGAGGTTTTTCAGGAATTCCTTGTGGTGTTATGGCACAAATGTCTGCACAGTAAATGAACTGGAAGGAAAAAGGTTAGAGAGTGCATCTATGAAACAGATTTTGGAGGTGATGAAGTATTAGGGAAGAACAAGTTCCAGGTCATTACTATGTGAGTGGTAATCAGGATGGAAGGGAGGAAAAAATGACTGAAGTTAAATATATCAAGGAACAAGAGGTCAGAGTATTGGATGGATGACCTGTATCAGGAGTTTTTAATCTGGGTCTATTGACTCTGTATTGCCAGAATTCAGGGAGGTCTTGAGCTGGAATGGGAAAAAAATACTTTCTTTTTTCTTTTTTTCTTTTTTGAGATGAAGTCTTGCTCTGTCACCCAGGCTGGAGTGCAGTGGCGCAATCTCAGCTCACTGCAAGCTCTGCCTCCCAGGTTCACGCCATTCTCCTGCCTCAGCCTCCCGAGTAGCTGGAACTACAGGCGTCTACCACCATGCCCGGCTGATTTTTTGTATTCTTTTAGTAGAGATGGGGTTTTACTGTGTTAGCCAGGATGATCTTGATCTCCTGACTTCATGATCTGCCCGCCTCGGCCTCCCAAAGTGCTGGGATTACAGGCATAAGCCACCGCGCTGGCCTTTTAAACATTTAATTTAATTTTCTGTTCCAAAATAGAGATAGGGTCTTGCTATGTTGCCTGGGCTGATCTTGAACTCTTGGCCTCAAGCGATCCTCCCACCTTGGCCTCCCAAAGTGTTGGGATTACAGGTGTGAGCCACAATGCTTGGCCAAAAGTGTGTCTTTCTTTTCACTAACCATTAATTTAAATTTACTATTTTCTTCAATTATTAATGTAGGCAATAAACCGTTAGAATAGTTGCAAAAGTTGTGACTTTGTCACTAATAGAAATCACTGACATTTTCAAATCATAATATAGTTGTTCCAAATATGTTGAAATGTTGCTTATGCTCATT